GTGCGGCAGCGGCAGGTAGGAGCCCGCCCGCCAGGACCGGGCGCGGAAGTTCCTCTTGCACTTGCCGCAGTCGGGGCCCGTGGTGTTGTGCTCACACTCGCACTGCAGGCTGCCCTCGCGCACAGAGCACAGGTTGGCGTGCAGGTTGCACTTGCACCTGTGGGGACACAGGGACAAAGACGTCAGCGAGCTCAGCGAGCTCAGCGAGCTCACGGCAGGCGGGCTGGGAGGGTGTTGGGGCTGGCCTCGGGGGGACCCTGGAGGCCCCCAGTCCAGCCTGCCACGCTTCTCCGTCAGGACCAGAACCCCGGCTCCACGCTTCCCCCACCCCCAACCCCGACATTGAGGGAGTCGGCCACCCCACCTGAGTCCTTCCCCGGCGGCGCCGGGACCCAGGGCTGCCAGCCTACTCTCCTTTTTGATCAGGGTTTCAAGGGTTTCAAGGGGTGGGGTGACAAGGTGTCCTTGTCCCAGATGCTGTATTTTTAGCAACGCAGCTTCTGATCACCTTTGCTCTCCACTAAGGTGGGTTGACAGGTAGCAAGATGCTGCTCCCCAGCCCCTTGCTGTGTAGACTTGGACCTGGCCCCCAGCCACACCTCTGCTGGCAGCGGAGGCCACGCCTCCGCCCTTGAGGGCGACAGAAACCTGACTCCAAAACCCGTCAATTCATCCATACATGCATTATTCATTTATTCATTCAAATATTTATAAGCAACTCATTATTCCGAAAACCGGTAAATAAAGGGAAAGAATCCAGCATTTGTCCTGCCTGTTCTATATAAACCGTACCTCTGGGGAACCAACACTTGACGAGGGGATGTTTCTTTTTATAGAAGCGTTCCAGCTAACAAGAAGGGGTGATGAAATTAGGAGGTCACCATTCAGCACCCCCCACAGAACGAATGGCTCTAAGCGTGGTGTATCAGTCGCCTGGAACACCACCGAGACGGACAACCAGAGAGAAGCTTCTGAGAGGCACACCCCACCCCGAAGCAGTCTGGTCCAAACAAACTGAACTCGAATTCTGATCAAGCCTCTGGATCCAGCTATGAATTTACAGGAAATACAGAGGACGGAGAAACATGGTAAATAACACCAGGCGGACGCAATCAGCAAAATCCACACTGAGGGCAACTCCAGAAGTGCTGACCCAGTTTCTTTAACGGATGAGCTGCAAGGGGCAAAATTTGATAACGATGGAGGAGGGACCTAGCTCGAGAGAAGTCTCAAAGGCAGATCGACCAGTCTCAGGGTGTGGACCTCATCCAGATCTTGACTCAAACAATCTCTAAATTCACATAAATGAGCAGGATGTGTATTCATGAGACGGCTGGAAATGTGAACGCTGACCATACTTGATGAATGAAATTATTATTTATTGGATGCAATGATGATATTGAGGTTATGTTTCTAAAAGTCCTTATCTTGTAGAGATACACAATGACATATTTACACATGAAATACCTGACATCTGGGATTTGCTTCCGAATAACATGGGCAGATGAAACAAGAAAGGCCAGAAGTTGGTAACTGCCAAAGTTGGGTGACAGGTGTATATGGTGGTTCATTGTAGTAGATTCTATTTTGTATGCATGTTGGCCATCTCCCATAATAAAAAGCTAAAGAGAGAGAGAGAGTGTGTGTTTTATATTCTGATATGGGAAGATTTCCAAGATATATTGTCAATATTAGTAAGAAGCAAATTGCAGAATAAAATGTTTAATAGAATCTTATTTTTATTAAAATATGCAAAGAGGAATATTTACAAGGCACCTGTTATGGCCAGGCTCCGAGCCGGTGACAGTGAGTATGGCCAACAAAGCAGACAGAGTCCCTCCTCTAATGAAGTATAGGGCCTGGTGGGGCATGATTAAAAAACTCAGGGATTGGGGTGGGGCGCATCCACGGGATGAATCAGCGGAGCCCAGGGGAGTTCGGGGGTGGCGAAGTGATTCTGCATGACACTGTCACGGTGGACATATAACATTATGCATTTGTCCAAACCCACAGAATGTACACCAAGAGTGAAGCCTCATGTCAATCGTGGACTTTAGCTAATAACAATGCATCAGTGATGCTTTATCAACTGTAACAAATGTACCAACTAACGCGAGATGTTGACGAGAGGGGAGGCTGTGAATGGGAAGTGGGAGGTGTCAGGAACACTCTGTACAATCTGGCCCATCTTCTGTAAACCTAACACCTAAAAATTAATAAAGACTATTAATTTCACAACGATAATCACGCCAATCTTTAATTAACGTCAATCGTTACAGGTGCCCAAGTGTTATACAGAGGAAAGGCAAGGAAAGGCTACACTGGGCGTCCTGACTTAAGTCACACGGGAGCATGGCGGGCTTCCAGGAAGAACAGCTTTTTAAGCTCAGACATGAAGGAGGATCAGGAGTTACTCAGGCAAGGAGGAGAGAACCTTCTGGAAGGAGGGCAGACCATGAGGGAAGACCCTAGGGCTGAAAGAGCTCAATGTGTGAGTCTGAGACAAGCCCAGAGGCCAGACAATGACACGGGGGCTGGAGCCTTGGGAGGCTGGAGTGTCCTGCTCTGGTTTTATTTTATATCCCTGTAGCCGCTCCATGGGGAATGGTTCATCTGGGGGACAACAGCCGGAGCAGGAGGATCAGTGGGAAATCTGTGCCCTGGCCGACGACAGAGGACCGTGACCTGGACTAGGGCGGAGTACACCACAGCCACCAAGAAAGGAAGACGCGAAGCGAGATCGGACAACTGAGCAAAGCGAGGTTAGAAAGTCAGAGGCGTCGATCGAGTCTGCACTATGACGGGCCCAGAGGGGGGCAGTTTTGAATGAAACTGTAGAAAAGAGCGTTGGAGAAGAGCAGGAAAAGAATCGAGAGAACGAAAAGGAGAAGCAAAGAGTCGGAGGGATCCCCTCCCCAAGCCTCTGCTCGGCCACACGATGAACAGTTACGTCCTTGCGTCTTCTCCTCTTGCTTAATCAGTCCTGCGAGACCCTTCACCCTGGCTCTGGCTGCCCCCCGCTTGCCCTCCGTGTCCATCTGGACGGAGCACCCCGGAGGGCTATATGGGTTGTGTGGCCGGCCTGCCAGGATCCCGGATGCCCCTTCCACCAGCCCTGCGGCTCCGGGTTGACCCACTGCCTGCCGGCTTCCGAATCGCCGGGTGCCGTCCTCGGAGATTCTCTCTGCCCTCAAACCCCCCTGCAGAATGGTTAAGGAAGTTAAGGTTCATCCGTGCTATGAAACGTGGTAAAGCTATCACCTGTGATGCTGTCGAAGGCTGTTTCAGGCCCTGGGGAATGTTCTCAGGACAGACGTAAGGGACCGTTCTTCCGAGCGCTTGCCGCGGGCCGGCGGGCGTCTGGGTGGCCCTCTAATGAGCACGACAGCTGGTCTTGGCGTCACTTTCATTTGACAGATGAGGAAATGGCACTTCAGGGAGGTTATATTCCTTGCCCAGAGTCACAGCGCTGCCCCCAAATGGGACTGGGACCGGGACTCAGAGACATCTGAGGCCAGAGACCAAGAGGGAAACACGGGACAGGACGTGGGCTGTGAACAGCAGGACACTTTCGTGTACATCGTGTAGGACGCAGGTACATGCACTGTAGTGCTATGCACTGAATTGTGTCCCTCAAATTCATATGTCGAAGCCCTCACCTCCAATGTGACTGCATCTGGCCTTGAGAGAGGTGAGTGAGGTGAAATGAGGTCACGTGAGCGGGGCCTTTATCCACTAGGGCTGGTGACCTTATAAGAAGAACTCTTGGCACTGTGCGAGGCCGCGGGAGAAGGTGGCCATCTGCAAGCCGGGAAGAGGGGCCTCACGAGAAAACAACCCTGCCGGCACCTTGACCTTGGACTTCCAGCCTCCAAAAGCATGAGACAATGAATGTCTGTTGTTTAAGCCGCCCAGTGTGTGGTATTCTACTAGGGCTCCTGACTCTGTTTAAAATGCATAAATCTATACCTGAGGCACCAAGAGAAAGCACATCCAGGTATTCCTGTGCTTGTCTTAGGGAAGGGATGGGACTTTCATTTTCTCCTTTGTCACTTTGCACGTTTTCTACAATCTCTGTAGTGAGTAGCTATTACTTTCATAAACAGATTTTTTAAAAATGCTATTTAGAAACACAAAGCCAGGCCTGGGTGGGGAAGGTGGCTGGTCGGAGCTTGCGTGCCCCACCCCCACCCGCTGTTAGGAGGACAGGGTCCTCCAGGCCTGGCGGGATGGTGCGGGGAGCGGGCGGCCAGGGGGAGACTTTGGGAAACTCCTGTTCCATGTGACACACTGACCACTGTTCGTGACTCTCGGCCCCAGGTCCAAGGGTACGGGTTGAATTCTCTGGATTAGGATCCTGACTCGGAGCAAGGGCCCTGTCCAAGGGCGTTAGCCGGTGCTGAGGCCGTGTCGTTTAAGTCCAGCTTTCCCTTACAGCCCGGACACCGACCCTGTCGAAGTTTGACTGCGACACAGAACCGAAATTAGTGGCGTGTGAGAAAGTCTGCTTGTGTTCCTTGGAGTTCCAACCCATGACCACATATATACTGAGGGCCTACTATGTGCTCGGCTCTGGGAAAGGCACAGAGGGGGATGGGCAGGCACTTGTTGGTACTGGAGACTCTTCTTCTTGGGGTCTCCAGAGATGGTCTTTGGCAAAGAAAGGGCCTGTGCTTGAACCTCACTGGTCAACATATACGATGCTCTCCTAAGGCCCTCATACCCTGCCCCTGCCACACACCCAGCAGCACAATGAATATCAGCATAGTAAAGGCTCTGACAAGTCCTGCAGGAAAGAAACCTGTCTGACTTAGTCTAACTAGAGTTGTTCGTAAAATGTATTTGACCTCGGGAGGTTTTAGTTATTTTCCTCTTCTCAATTCCTCTCTAATATCCCGCTGAGCTGGCTGGAGAGAAACACCCAGCTGTGTGGAACCGGGAATGTATTCCCTGCCTCTGGCCCGAGGACGGGATATTTTTAGATATCAACTACATAAAGAAAAGATTGCCATCTCGACTTCGGGTAATAACATTGACCTTGGATTGTTAAAAATGCGCAAAAAAGACCAGCTGAACCTGAGAAGCATATTGTAATGATGGTAGTAGGGAGTCACGGGAAGTCAGAGCCTCGGCCCCACGTGGTTACAGGCGTGGTAC